TTATTTAGGATCATCATCCTGATAATCGTTTTTGTGAACGACAGGCTCCCTGCGATACATTGAAGAGTTTTTTTTTTCCTGTAGCCTTCACATTCCGCTACTGTGCAGAGCTTTTTTTCCTGCTGATTTCACTCTTTCCTAGGAATTAAAGTTTTTTTTCCTTCTGGATTGTAAATTCTCTATTACTTTTCCGAAGGGACGTATCTGCTTTTATAAACAATGTATTCGATCGTCGATTTGACGTAACTGGTAACTCACCCACGCATACTAACACCACTATCGGGTAGGGGGAAATCTTGCGTATCTGAAGGGGCGATCATGATGATCATGCGTGGGCGAGCTAGCAGATACGCCTCATCGACGTTCCATTGTTTGCAAAAGCAGATACGTCCCTCCGAAAAAAATATTCGAGAATTTTTTAACTGCTTTGATACTAGGGTAGGTGTACCAGTTATGGTGCGTTGGTGTGTTCCTATTATGGACTATGGAGATTCCATAGGCCATAATTAGAACACACCATAATAGAAACGTATAGTCGTAACTGGTACACCTACCTTAGTGTTTATTTATTTGCCTGATGTTAAATGGATCAATCAGAGATGCAAAGAAAGGGTTAAACGGCTAGTGCACTGAATACAAACGTATTGAAACAAGAATCGAAAAATTATTTGAAATCATATTCAAATTTATCTCGCTGTTGGTTGTTTTCCAAGATATCTCGATTACTTTTTCGAAGGGACGTATCAGCTTTTGTAAACAATGCATTTGGTCGTCGATTTGACGTAACTAGTAGGTCGCCCACGCATACTAATACCACTATCAGGTAGGAGAAAAATTCCCCTATCAGTGGGTAGTGTTAGAATGTGTGGGCGAGCTACCAGTTACGTCAAATGCATTTTTTACAAAAGCTGATATGTTTTTTTCGAAAAAGTAATCGATATATACTCTTTCTGTTTCTATATGAAGCAACATTAAAAACAAAATCTAAAAAGTAGGTATGTTTGAAGAATCATTACTGAACTAAATTACCTATTTAGGAATTTCCATAGGCCATAATAGGAACATACCACAACATGAATGCACAGCTATTACTGGTATACCTACCCTAGTATCAAAGCAGTTCAAATATTCTCGAATATTTTTCGAAGGGATGTAACTGCTTAGGACGCCCACGCATCCACTACCATCAGATCCGGAGAACTTTGAGATTTGGGCGTAATTGCTTTGTAAGCAATCACGTCTATCACTGATTTCTCGTGAATTGAAACTCAATCTCGCGAATAAACCATACTAAATGATAGAGGAATCATTTATCTACCTGTTTGTGCCGTTAATTTTTTGGATTGAGCCTTAATTTGCGAGAAATCGGCGATTGACGTGTTTGTTTACAGAAGCAATTACGCCCTAATCTCAAAGTTCTCCGGAGATACTGAAAATTTTCCCCTACGCTACTGTGTTACCTGACTTATAACGAATATACGTTGTATTCGAGTACCCCGAATACAACGTATGACTCGTCAAATTTTGCATAGCATTTGTAATGTAAAATTAGACGAACTATACGATGTATTCATGTATTCGGGGTACTCGTATACAACGTATATTCGTTATAAGTCAGGTAACACAGTAGTGGTGTTAGTATGCGTGGGTGAGCTACCAATTAAGCCAAATAAACGATCAAATATATTTTTTACAAAAAAAAATACGTCCCTTCGGAAAAGTAATCGAGAATTTACAATCCTTCCCTGCTGCATTCATTTCTAGAAAAGAGTGAAATCAGCAGGAAAAAAGCTCTGCACAGTAGCGGAATGTGAAGGCAGCAGGAAAAAAGCTCTTACCTACGAGAGGCATAGCAGCGCCGGACAGCACAAAAAAAAATCGTGTGTGCTCTGCGATCGTGAGAGCTTTTTTCCTGCTTGCTTCGCATTTTGCTGCTGTACCTACCTACATTTTGTTCCTGCTTACTGTTAAATTGGTGGACTGGGTAATATGTTCATCATATTCAATGTAGCGCAGGGAGCATGTTGTTCACAAAAACGATTATGAGGATGATGAATCAAAACGTACATCAATTCTGATTGCTCAGCATTATTAACAACAACAAGTAAGGCAGTTCGCAATGCTGTTGTATTTTATAAGGACTGTTTCAATTTGAAACTAGAACAGAAACGCACCTCTCGCAATGCTGAGTTGCAGTTTCATTATTCGAGCACTATTTTGCACCAGATTTGCAACTGCTCGACAATTCTGTTTTATTTCTGAGCGAGTTTGAAACACGAATGGAACTCTGTTTCAAATTTCTGTATGTATTTAAAGATGTTTCGAAGAGCTTCACAAAAAAACTCTATGAACTTCATAGAGAAAAGTAAAGTTTATGGAACTTGATGATTACAAACATCTTTTAGAACTGTGCGTTGCGCTGATCGTGTTGCAGTTTTATTTTTGACAGTTTCAAATTATAGAATTGTCAAGTCGTTTAAAACAATTTTGAAACTCAGCATTGCGAACGGCCTAACAACAGCAAACCAAAGCAAAAAAAATCCCTTTCTTAAACGTCGAATGAGAACGACCCAAATATGAGTTTAGTTCACTCATAATCGCCAAAAGTGCAGGAACTCAGTGATGAGTAAAATTTGTCTCATGGCTTACTGTGGAAAACCTAAAAAATCTGCCGGAAAATGAGGAAATTGACGAAAATTTTATTCAGTCTCGGAGTAGTACCAATAGACTGAGTGAATCCAATCTTTACTTTTCTCAAATTCGGGATTTTTTTCCCTGGAAAATCCTGGAAAAAGCCAGGAAAACATGAGGCAAATTTACTCATCGCTGAGTTCCAGCACTTTTGGCGATTATGAGTGAACTAAACTCAAATTTGGGTCATTCTCATTCGCCGTGTAACATAGTTTGAATGTAAAACTATAGCGAATTCGTTTATTATTCAGTTCCAACCTAGATCGGGTATCGAGATTGGGTCTGCTTGTTTTCTGACAAACGTCAGTTTGATCGTTTGTTTTTAAAACCCAGCTCAGGTTGAGGTTCGCACTGACAAAAAGTTCGGTTTCGCACTGGGTTGGAACTGGTTCCAACCCCTATAATAAACGAATTCGCTATTAGAAAGATTCCGAAATCACGCACCGCGGGGTGATATCACTTTCAGTCAGAAATATCAGTCCCACACAATAGTCCATTTTACGAAATGACGGGAGCTGGTTTGCCCGACAGAATTTGATGTTATTGATGTTGCTCCTCACAACCGTTAGGTAACCGCCTCCTGCCAAATTGTAATGCGGTATTGCGGTGCTTTATAAGCCACCGTGTTAAAAATTAAAAATTTTCATCAGTTGTAGTTGTAGTTCGAATTTGATTTTTTTTTTTTTTGTATATAAGTTTAGGCTTAATGTTCGTTTGAGTTACAGTTTAGAATTGTAATTTTAGTTTGCGTTGCCATTGAATTAGTTACGTTTTATTAGGAATAATTTTTATACGTGTAGTACGTTTTGAGTTGAGTTAAATTTTAGGATAATTTACATCGAATTCGTAAAAATTTCTAGGCTTAAATTTAACAAGAGAATTACGTTTGATTTTGAAATAAATTTTAGGTTAATTGTAGGATGCCAGTGGACTGTATGCTCATAACTTTTCTCGGGTGGTGATTTTTCGGATAGGTGCCCGCTCCCCCTGTGGGATTGGGCCACGGATGGACAACGCCGATGGTTGCCTTCTCGGTGGAGGCAGGTCTGGTGACTGGCTGCCTCGGAAGCTTCACGCTTCCTCTCTGGGATGCCTCGCAAGGCTGGCGGAACGATGGATCTCCAAGGTGGCCACGGTTGGCCGGAAAATTCAAAAACATAAACTCTTATTGGCTCTGAGAAGAGCCGGTTGGTTGTGGTCGTGGCAAATGGAAAGGGAGCAAGTATCGGAGCAGAACATATAGGCACACACACTTCTTTACTTGTTCATGTTGTTGTTATTTCACTTTTTTTACATTGATTTCTCTTCGTTTCTTCACACTAACACTAGTACGCCGTCCGGGAATCGGGCCCTGCTGATTGGAACCGAACGACGATGACTGCTGCTGCTATTGTTGTTATTTGATGCGCCGCGCCAAGCTGTCGCCGACTGACTGCTACTGCTCGGGTCAGGTCGATCTCGCGGCCGACTGCTGCTGCTGCTGCTGGCGATTTGTTTTCTTCTTCGGATTGTCTCTTCGGCTCGATGTTTTCTCTTTCGTAACTTGCGTAAAACTGTGTTGAGCGCACAGCAGCGCGTGTTTTTATATCTGCGTTGGTTCGGCTGCTGCGCTCTGATTGGTGGTCTTCGTGGCTGTCGCAAATTCCTCCTCTTCTTCAAATTTCAGCCCGCTGCCGGTGCACGGACTGAACATTCTCCCCCCGGGAAGTGTGCTCACCGCAACGTTTGGATCAGATGGAGTGAGGTTGTCAAGTATTGGTAATGGTGCTAGTTTATGAATTGCTCGCTTATAGGTACCAGATTTCGTTTTAACGTCCACGACTCTAACTAAACCGTCCGCTCCAGGGTACACTGAAACTACACGGCCTAACTTCCAGTTTTGGGGAGGGATATTCTCTTCCTTCAACAAAACGACTAGACCAGGTTTAACATTTACTCGCTTTTGCGTCCACTTGCCTCGAACTTGTAGCTCTGTCAAATATTCCTTGGACCATCTGGTCCAAAATTGTTCACGCAGTTGTTGGACGTATTGCCATCGAGACAAACGGTTGGTTGGGATTTGGGTATATGACGGTTCCGGAACAGCATGGAGTGGACGTCCAATCATCAGGTGAGCAGGGGTTAATGCTTCAGGATCTTGAGGGTCGTTGGAGTGGGCGTACAAGGGCCTGGAGTTTAGGATCGCTTCAACTTGGCATAAGAGAGTGTAAAGCTCGAAAATTGTTAGAGATGCAGCTTGGTAGACCTTCTTCAGGACAGACTTTACGCTCTTCACCCCTGCCTCCCAGAGGCCACCAAAGTGGGGGGACCTAGGGGGAATGGTTCTCCAGGCAATCTCCTTCGTTTGGCACAACTCGAATAGTTTCTTCTGGGTAGCTTCGGTCTGGAACATCACGTAGAGCTCATGCAACTCTGATTTGGCCCCAATAAAATTGGTACCGTTGTCGCTGTACACTGTGTGTGGAGTACCCTTTCGCGACACAAACCGCTGGAATGCCGCCAAGAACGCCTCGGTTGAAAGATTCTCCACTGCCTCAAGGTGAATGGCTTTGGTCACCATGCACACGAAAATGCAAATGTAACTCTTAACAGGTGTAGCCTTCCGAGCCGTCTGCTTCACAAAGATAGGTCCTGCATAATCGACTCCTACTTGTGCGAAAACTGGTTCTTCGTTTACTCTGTAGGATCGTAGATCGATCGTAGTTGGGCTGAGTCGGAAGCAATGGACGCAATTTCTAATAATTTTACGAACGGTCGACTTTCCGTTCAGCAACCAAAATTGCTGCCTCAGGATGGTAATCACGCTGGAGACACCCACGTGCATGTTCTCACGATGAGTTGCCACAAGTAGGCTCCGAATTACTGGACTCTTGTCAGGTAAAATCAGCTGGTGTTTGGTTTTATAGGGCAGTTGAGCGTGTCGAATTCTTCCACCCACTCGTAGTAAGCCGTTATCCAGAAAGGGATTCAAGCTGACAAGTCGATGATTGTTTTCACCTGCCTTGATTTTGTCTATTTCACGGGAAAATTCCTGCTCCTGGACGGCACCAACAATCTTCATCATTGCTCCTCGGAGCTCGGGAATGGTTGGATAAGGTGTGATAACTCGATCTTCCTTTTTCTTTCGACAGTTGGACAGAAACCGCAGAACATACGCCACAATCCGCTGCGTTTTACGAAAGGACTCGAACTTCGTCAGAACCGGAAACTCGTCGAACTTCATCACGATGTGGACTGACACTGTTGGCTTCATTTCTGGAATCTCGTCGTCACTCGGAAGGTCTGGAACTTCAGCTTCGTACAGCACCGAGCGAAGGAAACTCGGCCCATTCCACCACATGTCATTCCTAGCCAGTTCAGTGGAAGATTGTCCTCGGGACACTGTATCAGCAGGGTTTGCTGACGTGCGAACATATCTCCATACAAATAGATCATGAGAAACAATCTCTGCCACTCGATTGCGTACAAACTCCGTGAGACTACTGGGTGGTTTGCGCAACCATGCTAAAACCACTTGGCTATCCGTCCATAAGTTGGTCGATGTGAACTTCATCTTCAAAGTTTCTTGGATTTTATTGATCAACCGGCAAAGAAGAAGTGCTGCTAACAATTCCAGTCTAGGAATAGTCACAGGAGAAATGGGTGCTATCTTGGACTTGCTGGCAATTAACTTCATAGTGGCGGTACCGTTGGAATAGAGGGATCGGATATATACACAAGCACCATATGCTTTTTTGGATGCGTCTGCAAATCCATGCAGCTCATACGCCACAGCTTCTGGAGAAACAACAAGCCTTGGGATTCTGATTTGCTCGGCAATTGGCAACGCCTCAATGAACGACTTGTACTCGGCACAAAGATCGCTGTCTAACTTGTCATCCCACGCAAGCTTGCTAATCCACAGACGTTGCATAAGGATCTTTGCTATTACTACTACGGGAGAAATCAATCCGAGGGGATCATACACTTTCGCAATGGTGGATAGAACTTGCCGCTTTGTAGGAATTTCAATGCTTGCAGGCGGACTGGCTAGGAAAACGAACTCATCGGTAGTGGGGTTCCACAGCAATCCTAATGTTTTTATGACGTTATTGGCAGCACTGTCACCGATATCTACAAACGTGTCTCTATCTTCGGGTGGAATGGGAACAAGAAGACGCTCATCGTTGGAAGACCACTTATGAAGATGCATGCCTCCGGACTGGAGCAATGCATTCAGCTGATATTGGGTTTCCTCAGCTTCCTGGAAATCGTTGGAACCAAACAGTGCGTTGTCGACGTAACAATTTTCCTCAATCACACGAGCTGCCAATGGAAATTTCTTCTTCTCATCTCGGGCCAACTGGAGGAGCGCCCTTGTGGCTAGAAATGGGGCCGTGGCGGTCCCATAGGTAACGGTGGTTAGTTCTAATACTCGAAGCTTTTGGGTAGGTGATGTTCGCCAGAAAATACGTTGCATCGGAGTGTGGATCCGGTCCACCAAGAACTGACGGTACATTTTACCAACATCTGCGCTGAAGACGTAGCAGAGCGTGCGGAATCGGAGAATTATCGTTTCTATATCAGCTTGCACAGTGGGCCCTACCATCATCACATCGTTAAGGGAATATCCATGGACCTTGGCAGAGGCATCAAATACTACGCGACATTTGGTTGTCGAGTTGGAAGGGCGAAGAACGGCGTGGTGGGGCAGGTACCATTTTCTCAAACCGGGCGGATCGTTGGACTCCTGGACCTCCTGGCAATGGTTGAGCGACTCGTACTCCTCGATGAATGCATCGTACTGGGCTTTCAGATCAGGGTTGCGAGCTAACTTTGCTTCAAGGAGATAGAACCTTCGTAATGCCAAAAAACGAGAATCAGCTAGCTGCTCAACGCTGTCCTTCAACGGTAGTTGGACCACGTAACGACCGGTTTCGTCACGACGGTGGGTTGCCAAGAAATGTTGTTCGCACTTTTCCATGTCGGTGGTTAGAACGAGCTCAGGGGCGACACTCTCTATTTCCCAGAATTTTTGCACAAGTTTGTTGACAGGATCGGTGGACACGGTGAGCGTTAGAAGAACTATTCCAGACCTCAGACCCTCACAGTAATTACCCCCTACCAGCCAACCGAAGTGGGAATCATGAAGTCCGGGAAGATCGTCAGACAACTTCATGTAACCTGATTTCATAATGTCGTAGAAATGATCCATGCCAATGAGCATGTCGATGGAGTCTGCTCTGTGGAAGGTTGGATCTGCGAGTTGGATACCATCAGGGATGTTCCAAGTGTCGATGTTGATTGTGAAGGAAGGAAGTGGGCCAGTTATTTTGGGTGATACGAGGCAAGACAGTGATAAGATAAAGTTATTGCATCTGGAGCGAACTTGGACGGTACCCATTTGTTTAACGGTGGATTTTGCACTACCAATACCAGTAATAGGAACACTCACCTCGTTCATTGACATCCTTAATGCGTTGGCCAAGGATTGCGTGATGAAACTAACCTGCGAGCCATTATCCAGGAGTGCTCTACACGTGTGTGGCAGGAGGTCTTGATCCATAACGTTGACCAATGCGGTGAGCAGGAACACTTGACTGGTTGGCTTCACTGGAACGTTGGAATGAGCGGCGTTCGTGGACGCGCCGCTGGTCGATGGCTTGCACGCTGGAACCGGTGGGTCCGGAACCTGAGCTGCTGAAGCTGACTTCGGAACTGGAACTGCTGGGCTTGGTAGTTGCTTGATTTCGCTGCTATTCTTCGGTGGCTGATCCATCTCTTCCAGATGTAGCAATGAATGGTGTCTCCGGTTGCATTTCAAGCAAGACTTCTTCGAGGAACAATCACTCACACGGTGCCCACGTCGTAGGCAGTTGAAGCAGACGTTTTTCTCCTTCACTTTGGCGATCCTTTGGCTGACCGACAACTCGTTGAATATTGGGCACTTGAACGTGAAGTGATTGTCGGCACAGAATTCACAACGCTGTTCTGCTGGGGCTGAAGTGGTAGCGGTGTTTATCTTCGATGGGAAAGGCTTGGACAGGTTTGGCTTGGTGGGTGGCCGATACTTGGACTGGCTGTTTTCACTGGATGTTTGACACCTCTCCAGGACGGATACCCGCTCCTTCAGGAACTCGATGGTTTCGTCGTACACAGGCAACTCACCTTTCTTCATGGTCGCTTCCCATAACTTCTTGGTTTCGTCGTCCAAAGCACGAGCAATCAGGAACACCACCATATACTCCGCTACATCGGCGAAATCGTTTCCCAGAAACTTGAGATTCTCGACGTGCCCATTGAAGGTTTCCACCAATGACCGCAACTCACTGTAGGATTCCTTTGCTAACTTTTTCACACCTAGCATGCTTGCCAGGTGCCGATCGATTAGTCTTCGGTGGTCGGAATAACGCTCGTCGAGTAGTTTCCAGGCATGGGCGTAATTACCGTCTGTGATAGTTTTGACGTCTATCAGACCGGCGGCGTCCCCAACGAGAGCCTTCTCCAGATGATAAAGTTTGATGCGGTCTGACTCATTGCCTTTGTCAACCACATCCTTAAACATCACCTTGAATTTCTCCCACTGTTCATACCGTCCGTCAAACGTTGGTATAGCACGCGGGAGGGAAGGTTGGATGATCAATGGCTGCTGGTTTCCGGTGGGCTGTGGCTGCTGAGCTGGCGGAACGGTAAACTTTTCGAGCCAACTCTCAAGCACCACAGACACTTCTTCGTGGAGGTCCACAAACTGGAGGTAGTAGTTGTCTTGTTCTTCACGGTTTTCTTGTTGGGACAAGGCAACGATTTCATGATGAAGCCTGGTGAACTCGGCATTTGAGTTCTCAACACTTCGCTGGTACACCTTCACTTGAGCTGGAGTCAATTCGGTGTGGTCAACTTCCGCTTGCTTCAGGATGGTTTGGATCCGGGTCACGTTTCTCAACGCCATTCCACGGTTGTGGACTAGCGCCTCGAGATCCTGCTCGGTCTTCACTTCTTTTTTGGGTGGCATTTGCACTTTTCACTCATTCACTTTCTTCGGTAAATTGTCTTTCAATTATCAAGTCAATGTTTTTAACTTTTCAAATTCTCACTCTTGTTCACTTGGTTCCTCTATGCTCTGATCACAACGCATCGCTTCCCGATCCACTTTCACTCGTATTCTAGACAGACCGATTCCGTCGGATTGGATGCTTGCTCCTCAATATCCGGCTCGAAGGACCAAAAACAATTGTAGGATGCCAGTGGACTGTATGCTCATAACTTTTCTCGGGTGGTGATTTTTCGGATAGGTGCCCGCTCCCCCTGTGGGATTGGGCCACGGATGGACAACGCCGATGGTTGCCTTCTCGGTGGAGGCAGGTCTGGTGACTGGCTGCCTCGGAAGCTTCACGCTTCCTCTCTGGGATGCCTCGCAAGGCTGGCGGAACGATGGATCTCCAAGGTGGCCACGGTTGGCCGGAAAATTCAAAAACATAAACTCTTATTGGCTCTGAGAAGAGCCGGTTGGTTGTGGTCGTGGCAAATGGAAAGGGAGCAAGTATCGGAGCAGAACATATAGGCACACACACTTCTTTACTTGTTCATGTTGTTGTTATTTCACTTTTTTTACATTGATTTCTCTTCGTTTCTTCACACTAACACTAGTACGCCGTCCGGGAATCGGGCCCTGCTGATTGGAACCGAACGACGATGACTGCTGCTGCTATTGTTGTTATTTGATGCGCCGCGCCAAGCTGTCGCCGACTGACTGCTACTGCTCGGGTCAGGTCGATCTCGCGGCCGACTGCTGCTGCTGCTGCTGGCGATTTGTTTTCTTCTTCGGATTGTCTCTTCGGCTCGATGTTTTCTCTTTCGTGACTTGCGTAAAACTGTGTTGAGCGCACAGCAGCGCGTGTTTTTATATCTGCGTTGGTTCGGCTGCTGCGCTCTGATTGGTGGTCTTCGTGGCTGTCGCAAATTCCTCCTCTTCTTCAAATTTCAGCCCGCTGCCGGTGCACGGACTGAACAGTTAATTATTTTTTATTTCGAATATTTTAAATCTTGTCATAGGAATATTTAATGATGCTGAAGTAGGCGAGGGGCACGCAGTACAAAGAACCGGTGCGTATGCAATCAAAAGTACTTAAAGTAATTAATGCGTTTTGAAGCAGTACTGACGATTATTAAAATTATCTATCCGTAATTAATGTAATTAGAAGTATTGAAAATGTAGTTAATGTAAACAACTGTAATTAATGGAGTTAAAAGGTAGTTAATGTTCATTCCTCGTTCTGCTTGCGAATGAGCAACATCAAGGCCTGTTGTCTCGTCACATGGCATAGCTTTAAAAGTGTTTTCACCGCGAAAAGTTTTTTTTTC